TAAAAAAAAAAAAAAAAAAAAAAAAACGGGAGCTATCATTTCCGTATTTTCACATGAGGAAACTGAGAAGTCTCTCAGGTAACACAAAGAACAGAACCAGGACTGGAACCCAGCACTGTTTGACTACAGTGACATGCCATTCCTTCAGATGTTCCTTGGGAGCGGAAAAGTCTTCCAGTGTCTGGAGCAGAGGGCAACCAGAGCTCTCCTGCCCTCCACCCACTACTAATGTGAACTGACTGATACCAGGCCAGGTGCCTTGCTTGGCCTTCCTGAATCTGCAAGAGGCCAGACCCAAAGAGTGCTGTAGCACTCAGCTCAGATTCTGGATTCTATTAGCAGGGAGTCTGGAACCATGGAATGAGTATTCAACTCATGAGCAGGGCATTAGATGGCCACCCACCAGCAGAAGTAGAGCAAGGGCTCCCCTCTGCTTCCAGAGGGCCCCACTCTCTTGCTGGCAAAGGTCCAGCCCAGGACACCCCCTGGGATTCTGCATCTCTAAGAGGAGCCCTCCTTCCCACCAGCACATGCACACACTCGCAATGGGCAGGTGTGTGCCTGCCAGGGCACTGAGGTCAGGAGGAGAAGGAGAGGTGGGAGAGTGGGCACTTTCCCTTTCCCTCCAGTGAGCAGCAGCCCAGAGGGCCCTGTCTCACCCTGAGCTGGCTGTGATGTCAGCGGAAACCCCAGGGCAGAGTGCTCCTCCTGCCCTGCACTGGGTCCCCCACCCATACCTGGCCCAGCTCAGGCATCCCAAAGGACACCCCCATCCTCTCCCGACACTTAGAGGCACCAGGTTCTGCTGCTACTTCTCCAGTACACCACCAGGGCTCTCCCCATCAGCCAGATGTCTGGATGAAGGGAATGTGAAGAGGGCAGGAGCGTGAGGGATACCCCTAGGTGCCTGGCTCCTCCCTTACCCGCCAGGAACTGTCCCTGCCATTCTCTCAGGATGTTCCATTGCCCTGGCCAACCCATGCCTCAGGCTCTGTGACTCCATCTCCCCTGGCAGAGGAGTGGGGTTACCTCTCCCTGGGCTGGAAGATCCTTATCCTACCCCGCTGAGTCACTGCCCTTCTCTCCCCTCAGAGAATTGGAGGCTTAGAGGAAGAGGGCTTGGCCTTCTTCTAACAGCTGCAGGACCCTGGGCAAATCACTGCACCCCTATATCCCTGAGTTCTCTATAACACAGGGATAATGGTTACACAATAGAATTTCCTCACAGTCCCTAACCAAGCATCTGCACAGTTCCAGCCATTAATGGTTGCAAAACTTGTTAAATGAGACAAGACTTTAAGAAGGTGCATGAAGGGCTCTGGAGGTCAATGTTCAGGGAGACTTCACAAGAGGCAGGGGGGCAGAGGAGGGCCACACCTGCCCTGGAACAGGGGGGAGGAGCTGGGCCCGCCACACCTGGCAGTCCAGTCACCTTCCAGAAGCTGCCCGTAGCACCTACTATATACATGTTAATGAGCAGCAGGGATCTACAGAGATACAGCCTACCTACCAGGTGTGTGAGGGCTATGGGATAGAGGGCAAGGTAACTTCAGTACTGACCAGAGATGTTGGCAGGCTGCTAAAAAAACTCAGAGCAGACCAGGCCAAGTGGAGCAGGCCTCCTCTAACCTCTAGCTTGCTAGCAATTCTAGAAAGATTCCTGGATTTTCTGGAATCAGAAAGCCTAGATGCACCACCTCTTACAAGTAAGCCTCTCTTAATCTATGAAAGACTTCAGGGTTGTGGTGAGACTCAGATGAGACAATGAAATGAAAGGGGCTTTTTTGTTTTTTGTTTTTTTGGTAACAGGGATTGAACTCGGATCCTTGCGCTTGCAAGGCAGGCAGTGGAACCACTGAGCTAAATCCCTGGCCGTTGAAAGGGTCTTTGTAAATTGCAAAGTGCCAAGAATATGGGAAAGACTTCTGGCCTTCCTGCCCATAGAGGATTTGTTTGGCTGCTCTTTCCTGAGCACTTACTGCTTGCCCAGCACTGGAACAGAGCATTTAAATATTTCACACAATTTTACTGTTCTCCTGAGATGCTCCTGTAGTTGCCATCTTACTGTGGGGAAACTGAGGCACAGTTATACAATGAGCACAAGATCACATAAGCAGGCAGCCTGATTCCAGAACTATCCTGCTTGTAATTAGTAGCCCCCTCCCTACCCTGTCTGTAGTTCCTGAAAGCTCCTCCCTGCCCCCCATCTCTACTGCAGTAAGCCCATCACAGCCAAGGAGGACGCCTTCTCTGGCCCTTCCCCCATGAGGCCTCGGGTAAATTGGGCACACAGCTGGCTCTCAGGGAAGCTTGCTTGACCCTACCCAGGCAGTCAGCTGGGTCTGTGCCTCGAGCTGGGGCGGGACACGGTGTCTGTCTCCCTCTGCTGGCCCATGTGGGGATAGCCAGGCCAAGGTGCTTTTCTCCAGAGCTGCTGCTTCTGCTCTTGTCCCCAGAACAGGGGATGGGGAGATTGAAAAGAGGACTAGGGGACTCAGGCCAGGCTCTAGCCCACAGGAACACCAACACTGCCTCCTGGGGATCCTACAGCTAGAAGTCTGCCTCTAGTAGGGGAGCCTAGGAGTGGTCTTAGGGAGGCCAGGTCGCCTTTCTGATGCCTTGGGGGTGGGGAATGGGGCAGCAGGCCCCAAACAGCCTCCTCCTCCTCCTTCTAACCCATGAATGGAGCTGTCATCCATGGATTTATCTAAACCTTTTGTGAAGCTATTTATATTTCCAGCCGAGACCACATCTTGGGGTAATGAGTTCCATCGGTGTCCTCCCCTGCTGGGTGAAGCATGCTGCCTTTGATTTGTCCTAAACTTACCTCACTTGCGCTCCAAGGGGGCCCTGTAATTCCAGCATGCCAGGTTTTGGTGTACAAGCCTGAGCTTTCCCCTTCCCATCCCCACTGTGGGTTTAAAAAATTCCAACCCATCTCCCCCCCTCCACCTCCAGCCCTGCAGACTGAACAGAACTGGCCCCTCGTTTGCGTATAGTGTCTAGCAGTGTGGGCACATCCTTATCTCCTGTCAGCCCCCAACAGCTTGTGAGGAAGGGAACCACTCCCATTCTTGCGAGGCCAGGACACTATGGGCCAGAATCTTGGGACAGCACTAGTGCAGCTCAGTGACGACAGCCTTCCTTCTGAGCCACTTTCCCTTGGGCTGACGCTTCTCAGGGGATTTTCCAGTTTCTGCACACCAGGCGGTTTCGTTGAGAAGACTTTGCTGTGGCGTTCCTGGTATGCAGTTTCTAATGGTCTGTCTCCAGTTCTGATGAGAGGCTACTATGATTCAGAGGACAGAAGTGGTAGGACACGGCCATCACTTGAATAGCAATGCCAGCAGCAGATACAGAGAGCTTTGTGATGTGAACTAAATGAATCCTCATGGTAACCCTTTTGAGGTAGAGGCAATCATTTCCTCCAATTTACGGATTAGGAATCTGAAGTCTGGAGAACAGCAGCAACTGTCCATTTTTACACACCTTGTAACTAAGAAAGTCAGGATTCAGATCTAGGCAGACTGGCAGCTAGACCCTCATTCTGCACCTCTGCAGATAAACCTGGGTTCGAGTCTTGTAAAACCTGTGAATTCATACTCTTTAGTTATTTGGCACAGACATTTTAAACCATTACTATGAGCCAAACATTGTTCTTATTGTTGGGAGAAATACTGCAGAACTAGAAGGGCCTAGCAGGGTTTGGCAGTGGGGGGCTGGAAGCACCTGGTGGACCACATATATATCACAAGCAGGCCACACGGTACCCCACCAGCCAGCTGCCCAGGCACTATCAGTTTAGTTACCCCAGAGTAAGCACACAAACACCATTTCCTGTGTGTGCACTGACTGTATCAAGACAAATCACAGTCAACTACCACCCCACAAACCCTCTACCTTTTAGTTACACCAATCTGGCAAAACTCCCACCAGGAGTAATCCCACCTGTGCTCTTATGTCTACGAGGAGGGCTGTGCAGGAAATCCCAGGCAGAGGCAGAATAGTGCTGGCACAATCCCTCATCTACTCCTCAGTGAGTGTGCTCTTCTGGTCAACTCATTCTCAAAGCCTTGCCTTCTTACAGCTGTTTCTCCGGAAGCCTCCCCAACTGAGTCTGCTCAGTGGCGCGCTCCCACTGCCCACGGAGCTGTCGTCCTTGGTCTTTCTCCAGGGTGTAACTTCCTATTGACTTTGGTGATTGTTATGCTTCCAAAGCTCATGTGTTCCGAAATGGGGCTTTTGGAAGGTTATTGGATCATGGGGGTGCTATACTCATCAGTGGATTCATTCATGGATGAGGCCACATAGCTAAATGTGCTATTAGAAGATGAGATTCAGGGGATCTAGCTCAGTGGTTCCGCTGCCTGTCTCACAAGTGCAAGGTCCCGAGTTCGATCCCTGATACCAAAAAAAAAAAAAAAAAAAAAAAAAAAAAGAGATGAGATCCACTTGGAGAAAAGTCACTGGGGGCATCACCTCTAAGTCCTCCAGATTGTTCCCAGCTGCCGCCTTCTCTCTGCTTCCTGGCTGCCATGGGTTGAGTAACTTCCCTCTGTCAGGCCATTTTGCAATGCAATTTCTGCCTTGGAACCAGATGACCATGGACTGAACCTTGGAAACTGTGAGCAGAAACAAGCATCTTTTCTTCTAAGTTGCAAATGTTGAACACTGTGTCTCTGCTGAGGAAAGCTGACTAATATAGTAATTCTTTAATGAATATGTGTCCCCCAGTAGGCAGAAGCCCCTTCCAGCTCAGGAACCTTGATACCGCACTGCTCAGGCAAACCCCCACTCGCAGCCCTGGCACTGGCCATTCCCCTCTGCCCTCACTACTCTTCAGCAGATGTCTGCATGCCACACCCCCTTCCCTCCTGCAGGTCTCTGTGCAACTATCTACTTCTCAGCAAGCCGGCCCAGCAATGCTATTCAGTCCTTCTTCCCCAACACTCCTCTCTCCCTCTTTGGGCTTCCTTTTTCCCCATAGCACCTGCCACCCTCTTTGCACCATGTGACTGACTCATTCATCTGGTTGACTATCTTCTCCCACCAAGGTAGAAGCCCATGAGAGCAGGGACCTTTGTCTCATACTCTTTCTCATACTTAGAAAAGTGCATCTACTATTCATTGAATAAGTGAATTCCTGAGTACCAGTGTCCCAGGCTTTGACGTCCTATGACTTCAGCCTTGACTATTGGGGTAATAATGAGTGGCTGAAGGGAAGAAATTTCCCAACAGATAAGTATTTAAAAATCTGAAATGGCGCCTGTAATCCCAGCACTCGGGAGGCTGAGGCAGAAGGATCGCTGTGAGTTCGAGACCAGCCTGGGCTAGTGAGTTCCAGGTCAATCTCACCTACATAGTGAGACCCTGTCTCAAAAACAAAACAAAACAAATCTGAAATGGTAGCCACCTTCTTCCATTCTCTCTCACCCCTAACACACATTCACAGACTTACCTATTTGTAGGAGGCCACCTCTAACAGGATGTGGCAAAGACAGTGGAAGTTTGAGGTTTAAAAGAATTGAGAGATTATCTCATCCAACTGCTTCATTTTATTGAGGAAAAAACAAGTGAAAGCTGTTTATAGGTCGTGGCACACACCTATAATCCCAGCACTCAGGAGGCTGAGGCAGGAAGATCACTATGAGTTTGAGGCCAGCCTGGGCTACACAGGATGACCCTGTCAACAACAACAAAAAAAAAAAGAACCCTGAGGTGCAGAGATGTCCCCTAGCTTGCTTGAGGTCACCTATAAACAGGGCTGGAGCTACGTCCAGGTCTCCTGTCCTTTAGCACAGACCCAAGTCCTCTTTGGTTCCCCATATCTATCCTCTGCCTAACAATTTCCAATGCCTCTGAGCTCCTCCTTCCTAACTGTGCACCTTCCATTCTGGGCCTAAAGTGCATAACTGTATGTGCCCACTGCATGCCCGGCAGAGCTCCCTTCCAGCCCCACAGCCTGGGGTGCAGAAAGCAAGAAGCGGGACACCAGCTACAGCATCAGCTCCTCTTCAGTGCTGCAGGTGGATAAGGGCACTGAGAAATCCGGGGCCTCTCTGAGAGCCTCTGGGCCTCTCCGTCAAGTTAGAAGGGTTTCAGGGAGTGTCCTATTGCTTCCCTGTCCTCCCCCAGCACAGTACTCAGATGAGGCAGCCCTAGGCAAAGTCACACAGCAAGTGGGTGCTGAATCCGACAGGAAACCCAGATCTCCTGGCTCGGCTCCTTTCTGGTTTCTAAACCCTATAGAAGATTCAGATTATTTTCTACTTTTGGGAAGGGTTGGGAAGCTGATTGAGGATTAGAAGCCCAAAAGTATTAATGTCTGCCTTCCTCTCTCCCCATGGCCAAAGACCTCAGGGTGACAAGATCTTGTAGCACTAGAGGTGTCAGGAGCAGATACATGACTGGTGGAAACCTTCCCTTTTCCTGCCCTCTGGGAGCCTTGTGTTTGGCACTGGGCATGAAGGTTGGAAGGCTGTACTGGAGAGGAAAAAATGGTAAGGAAGTGAATAGCTAAGGCTATGGCAGTTTCTTTCTTTTTTTTTTTTTTTTTTTTGGTTTTTTGGTTTTTGAGACAGGGTCATACTATGTAGTTGGGAGTGACCTGGAACTCACTACGTAGCCCAGGCTGGTCTTGAACTCACAGTGATCCTCCTGCCTCAGCCTCCCGAGTGCTGGGATTACAGGCATGCACCACATGCCCGGCTCCACAGTTTCTTTTGCTTTTGTGGTTCTGGGGATTGAACCCAGGAATCTTGCACTGAGCTATATACTCAGGCTCCCTGCCACTTTTTTATTTTGAGACAGAGTCCCAATAAGTTATGCAGGCTGGGCTTCCTCAGCCTCCCAGAGTGTTAGAATTACAGGAATGTACCACCGTGCCTTGTAAGACTGTGTTTTTGTTTTGTTTTTCAGACAGAGTCTCACTATACAGTTCAGGCTGGACTTGAATTCATTATATAGCCCAGGCTGGCCTCGAATTTCCAGCAATCCTCCTGCCTCAGCCTCCCTAGTACTGGGATGACAGGCGCGCACCACCACACCTGGCATGCAGGTATCATTATCATCCCATTTTCCAGAAGAGTAAACCGAGGCACACAGGGACTAAACTAGTGAGCGAGGGAGTTAGTATCCAAAGTTGTGTATTTGAATCCTAGCTCCTAAACTGTATGGGCCTTGCAAGAATCTATCAGTTTCTTCCAAACCTTGCTTTCTACACTGCAGATTGACAATAACTCATCTTGCTGGGAGATCACAGAGAAAATGGAAAGCCTCAGTGGGTCTTGCAGTGCTGGTCAGATGCAAGGACACAGCATGAGCAAGGCCCTGAGGCCTGACGGTGGAGGCCAGGCTGAGGACCGGGCTAAAGTTGCTATGGGGTTTGAACACTGCCTTGCGTTTGTACCCCTGACCTGGATGCCTCCCGGTGTGGAATTCTTCCTGCTGGTTCCTGGTAAACGTGCTGTGACTTAGTAGCCACAGGGTAAAAGTCCAGGGTCCAAAGAGTTTTATGGCAACCACTAGAGCACGTAAACAGGGGAGAAGCATAACAACGTTTTAGGAAGGTCACTTTAAAAAAAAAAACAACACAGATTAAACCTAGGGTCTTGTACATGCTAGGCAAATGTTCTACCACTGAAGTTACACCCCAAACCCTTTTGAAACAGGTTCTTGCTAAATTGCCCAAGCTGGCCTTGAATTTATGACACCGCTGCAGCCTCCTGAGTACCTGGGATTAAAGCCAATTGAAGGTGAGTGTCACAGTTCCCAGTTTAGGAAGGTCACTCTTGCTGTGGAGAGTGAACTGGCTGGGGCAGGGTCACGCAGATGAGAGAATGGCGGCCCAAGTCACGTGTGAGCCATGGAGAGCTAAGAGGAGCGCCAAATTGCCACCTGTGTGACAGGTAGAGCAGTCAGGACCCACTGAAGGATCGGACTAGGGGAGGGGGAAGGTGGTGGTAAGGCCAAATCTCAGCCTGCCCTCAAAACCAGAGGAGTATGGTATAAACTGGCCTGATAGGAAACTAGGGATCCTCCAGGACTCTTCCAAGAACCATAAAGCATGCTGCTGCGGGGAACACAGCCAGCAGTCTTCAGGACTTCCCTCCTACACATGGCCCAGAGCAAGGGGAAGAAACACTTCAGCCGATAATTCCCTCACAGTCTGAGGTCTGTAGAAAACGCACAGAACCAAAATTCCTCCTAAACTATCTACAGGACTTTCCAGAGGCCTTCCTAACTTTCGGGTAGCCCGCACCCCTCTGTAACAAGGCTCACAGGCCTTTCTCATGCAGGAGCCCCAGGCAACGCTGAGCCTCTGCTCTTGTTAGTTTCTCCTCTGGGTGCACCCTTCAACCCGGTTCTGCCCAGAGAAGCTTGTCCTTTCTTCAAGTATCAATGAAGAGGATCAATAACAGATTCTTGAGATCAGAAAGAACTCCCTTTCCACTCCACACTCCGGCACCAAATTACTGCAACCTCTTTTGGGAGATGGTGGTTGCTGCTTGCATCCGAGTCCCCGGCTCCACAGGACGATCTTCTTTCGACCCTGGAATCCCCTGACAGACACCCAGAAAGTGAAATGAGTGACTCAGGACGGCCTGCCGCTCCAGCTCTGACTCCGAGCCCAGTGTTCAGTCCATCGCAGATGCACTTGGCGCCTTTAAGCGGTATCCTCTCTGCCCTTCGAGTTCCGGTGAGCGGCCCGCAGTGCGCCCAGCCCAGCACCATAGTTCCAGCAGCCAGAGATAAACCTGGAGACTGAGACGCCGCCAGTTTTGGAGACCCTCAGCTTCCGCGTCACATGATTGGGCCGGCCCAGCTAGCTGACTCTGTCACGTGACGGCGGAGCCTGCGAGCGTTTTTCTCACGTGACGGAGGCGCCAGAGTGTGGACCAATAAGAAGGCGGAGGCGGAGCTGGCCGGGGGCGGTGCGCGGGAAGGGAAGCCAGAGCTTCTGGGGTAGCCCCTGAGACCTCGCGCGTGTGTTTCGCGCGTGTGTTTGCCGCGGCCAGCTCCAGCTCTCAGTCCCGTTGTAAGCTAGGCCCAGATGCAGTTCTGGAGGCAGCATGAAGTGCTTGGTGACGGGCAGCAACGTGAAGGGTGAGTTACAGCCTGCCTGGCGGCGGGCACGTGAGCTACCCTGGGGGAACCAGCCTAATGTTTCTGCCCTTCTCCCCGCAGTGCTGGGCAAGGCCGTCCACTCCCTGTCCCGCATTGGGGATGAGCTCTACCTGGAACCCTTGGATGATGGGGTGAGGGACTGGGAATAGGGGCGGGTGGATTCCAGCTGGGATCAGGTAGCCTGGATTAATCCTTCTCCACTCTGGGCAGGATGGTCGTGCCTGGCTGTTGGGGCGTCACTTTGGGCCTTGTCTTCGTCCCAGGCCAATGAGTGCACAGGGTACACTTACACACTCTGAAACGTACAGTGACTAGGGACAAGGGCAGGACGTACTCATCAGTGGTGGTAGGAGCAATACAGAGGCATTCTGCGAAGGCTGCATAGAGAAACTGCATTACAGACTGACTCCAAGGGGGAAGGAGGGTTTCAGCACATGCTGGAGCAAGGGGACCTGTGATCACCAAAGGGCAAGTGTGACCAAAATCAAGCCAGAGGGCTCGGCCTGTCCCTGTCCTAACTGTCCCCTTCCCTTGTTTTGTGGGCCAGCTCACCCTCCGGACAGTGAACTCTTCCCGCTCTGCCTATGCCTGCTTCCTCTTTGCCCCACTCTTCTTCCAGCAGTACCAGGCAGCTACCGGTGGGCAGGACCTGCAGCGCTGCAAAATCCTGATGAAGGTGAGACCTTTCAGCAACAGCTGGCACTGCCGCACTCTGGGCACTCTGCAGATGCTATCTAGGAGTAACAGTCCTATGCAGAATGCAGTGAGGGGCACAGTGAGGACACCCACACAGGGTAATGGGAGCTGTGGAGAGCACAACTGACACCAGAGACCTGGAGAGAGTGATGGCATTCACGCTGATCAAGAACAGTAAATAGGTCTTTCAAGGCTTTCTAAGCAGAGTGGGCAGTGTAAAAAAAGCCTGGAAGGCCGGGCATGGTGCTGCGCACTTGTAATCCCAGCAGGAGGATCGCTGTGAGTTCGAGACCAGCCTGGGCTACATAGTGAGTTTCAGGTCAGTCTCAACTACATAGTGAGACCCTGTCTCAAAAAACCAAAGTGGGGAGGAAGGCCTGGAAGTGTGCCCCTTTCCATATATTACATATGAGAGCATTGGTGAGCCAGGGCCTATGAGGGAAGTAAGAGCTGGTTGGTGGAGTCACAGTGCTAGGTTGCTATCTCCTCTTTTCTTAGTCCTTCCTGTCCATCTTCCGCTCTCTGGTGATGCTGGAGAAGACAGTGGAAAAATGCTGCATTTCCCTTAATGACAGGAGCAGCTGCCTGGTGGTCCAGCTGCACTGCAAGTATGGTAAGTAGGCAGCTGGCCAGCTAAGGGGTCCTTGGGGTTTGGGAAGAAGGTTGGTAAGGACTACTGAGAACACTGTCTGCCCATCCAGGAGTGAGGAAGACTCATAACCTGTCCTTCCAGGACTGTGAATCCCTACAGGCGGTCTTCAATCCAGCCTCATGCCCCCATGTGCTCCGTGCCCCTGCACGGTGAGTACACCCTTGCCACAAATTCAGCTTGGGTCTCTTTCTTCCTTCTTTGGGCCTCCCAGGGTGAACTAAGAAGGAACATTTTTCATCCTCTGTGGTTTCTGTGAACCTCCGGGTGCTTGTGGGTCCTTACTGGCTCTTTCAAAGTAGGGGCTGGAACCAGGCATTGTGGTGCATGCCTGTAGTCCCAGCACTCAGGAGGCTTAGGCAGAAGAATTGTTGCAAATTTGAGGCCAGCCTGGGGTACATAGTGAGTTCAAGGCCAGCCTGAACTACTTGTGAGACCCTGTCTCAAAAAAGCAAAAACAACAAACAAAAAAATAGGGGCTGGTGTGGAAAAGAGGTAAGTGTGGGTTTTCCTCACTCTGTAGGAGCCTGCTTTCTCCTTCCCTTAAGCTCTGGCTTGCTACTTACCACTTGCACCCATTCTGATTCCACTTATCAGGGAGTGCATCTGTAGCTGGCCATCACCTCTCTTGTTTGACCTGAGCAATCCTGAAGATCTGTCCTAAACCTTGGGGTTCAAAGAGCTCCTTCTGGGCCGTGTCCCCATTCTCCTAAATTCTGGGCTTTTGCTTTCAGGAATCCCTAGGCCAAGGCAGGAGGTGAGGTGAGGGTCCAAGAGGGCTGCTAATAATCTACCGTGAGAGTGGAGCTGTGCAGGGCCTAGGGAATGGGGGCTTCAGAGGCGAAGGCCCTGAGAACCATCTTAGAGAAGAGTGGGCTCCCCATGCTGGATGCTGCATTTGGCAAGCCCAAAGTCCAGAAGTCCCTTCAGGTCCTGATAGCTCCTTTCCCAGGGTCTGTGGAGTCTTCAATGATCAGGATTCCTTTGATTAGAGAAAGAGGGTCATCTTGGTTTGCATTCGAGTCATATTTTTCTCTCCCTTTTAAAAAGAAATGAACACTTGCTTCTCTTATGAATAATTTTAAATATATAGAGAAGTAGATGTTTAAAAAGAAAAAGATGTAGCTCCTGTTCCCAGTTGCCTTAAGGTAAAATCCAAATGATGTTTTATTTGTAAATATTTAGCGGCATGAATTCTTAGAAGACAAGCATTTAAGGGCCCTGAAACTCGAGTTTCTGGAGATGGCATGAGTGGTGTCCTACCCCTACATGTAGCTGTGCTGCTTGCCCAGCCACCTTCTGTGGGCTATGCTTTTGTTTGCTCTATTCCTCTTACTGTGTGGGATCACATCTTGCTCATCCCGTCCTGTACTTCTCAAGGTATGCTAGGCTGTACACCACGTGTACATGTGTATGTCACTCCCTCGGGTTTTCTGAGAGCAAAGCCCCTGGCAGGGGTGAGCCTTTGATGTGATGCTTTGTCTTCCTCACAGGATCCTGGGAGAGGCTGTTCTGCCCTTCCCTCCTGCGCTGGCTGAAGTGACTCTGGGCATTGGCCATGGCCGCCGGGTCATTCTGCGCAGCTACCAGGAGGAGGAGGCAGGTGAGAGAGCTAGATAGGTCCTGGGATTGAACAGAGTTGGAGTTGGGAGGGGATCAGGTCCCAGGGAACCAGGAGCCCAGGTTCCTACTGTGCTTGGCCCCACAGACAGCACCGTCAAAGCCATGGTGACTGAAATGAGCATTGGGGAGGAGGATTTCCAGCAGTTGCAGGCCCCAGAAGGAGTAGCTATCACTTTCTGCCTTAAGGAATTCCGGGTAAGCTCACCCTCTTCTCCCACTCACCACCCTGTCCTGCCCAGCCCAGGGTCTCACTGCCCTGCTTCTTCCCTCCCAGGGGCTCCTGAGCTTTGCAGAGTCAGCAAACTTGCCTCTGAGCATTCACTTTGATGCCCCAGGCAGGTAATTCCTAGCCTGTGACAGGAGCGGGAGGGTTCTGGGATGCCAGGAGCTGAGTGGAGTAACCTAGGTTGGGTGTTTGTCCTATGCTCAGGCCAGCCATCTTTACCATTGAGGACTCTCTGCTGGATGGCCACTTTGTCTTGGCCACACTCCTAGAGCTGGACCCACACTCACAGGACCTGGGCTCTTCAGAGCTCCACCAGCCAGTGCGTCAGCTGCAGGCTCACAGGTGAGGGCATTGCCCACCCACTCTTCCTTTCATCCCTTTACACCCTACGCTGAGCCTGCTGCTTCTAGCTTCCATACCTTCCCCCAACACACATAACTTCCTGTCAGTTCCTAGCTCTGCAGTGCTCGTGGCTGGCTGGCTGGCCCGGCAGGCTCAGGCTTCATGGTCAGCTGTATTCAGAGACCCCTCCCACCCAGGGAAGCATCCCCAAGGTCTCACTGGCTTCCTTTCTGGCTGAGGCCTCCCCTCTGAGCCTTCTCCCAGGCCAAGGAGGGAAAGAACTGTTGGGAGGCAGGGAGCTGGCTGGGGTGGGGGAAACAGGTGGCTGGAAGGGCAGGTGGGTTGAGGATGAGCCCAGCGTAGTGGAAGCAGAGGAAGTTTGGTCTGGACCCCTGCCCGGTGGATCCCTGGGGTGCAGTGCACTCCAGCTTCTGCCCCCTGGGAAGGTGGGGGCTAGGGCCCCAAGTGGCCTGCTCAAAGAACTTGCTGCTCCCTTCCCCCAGCTAGGTTATACTAACCCTCTGGATGCCTCCCTGAGGCCCCTACCTGAACTGTGATCAAAGAGATTGCAGACCAACCCCCTCCAGGAAGCCCCCACTTAACTCCTGCATCCTCCCCTCTCTAGCCAAATCAGGAAGTAATAAAACCAAGAGCTAACCAGCAGTCTTGAGGCCCCAAAGCCCTCTCAGCCCTCTGAGGTGGAGCCTGCCTTGAACCCCTTCTCTCCCTATTCCTTGCTGATCTCTATCTCTGCCTACAGCACACCCCACCAGGATGATTTTGCCAGTGACGACATTGACTCTTACATGATTGCCATGGAAACCACTGTAGGTAGTGAGGGCTTACAGGCACTGCCCTCAGTCTCCCTTACACCTGGCCCCCACTCAGAGGAAGAGGATGATGAAGCTGAACCCGGTCCAGTGCCTGGCACTCCCCCACCCAAGAAGGTAGGGGCTGGAGGTAGGGGGCAGGGACTGGAGGTGAGGAAGCAGCCTCCAGGCTCACTCTATCTACCTCCTCTGTTCTCTTTCCAGTTCCGCTCACTGTTCTTTGGCTCCATCCTAGACCCCATACACTCTCCCCAGGGGCCCAGCCCTGTGCTGGCTGAAGACAGTGATGGTGAAGGCTGAAGAAAGAATTTGAACTTGACTTGGGTCCTAAACCCATGGACTAGAAGCCCCAGCCAGTGTGGCAGGGCTAGGTCTCAGTGCTGGGGATGATAGAAGGGCTGGCTGGAGCTGAGCTGACAGTTCTGCTCCTTCCCAAAAAGCTCCATTTGGCTGTCTTACTGCAGAGCTGCCCGACTGACCATGCTTGGCCTGGGTCCTGTCGTCTCACCCTCATCTTGCAGTCAGTCACGTCTCTTCCCAGGCCTGGTGCCAAGCCTTCACCTGATAGAAGGTGCTTCACCTCTCCTTTACCAGTCTCCAGCCATTTGGCTGGAGCCAGAAGCCCACCTTTAGGCTCACCTCTCTAAGAGAAAATCACAGTGGGGCTGTAACCCCTGATCATCACCCTCCTACCCTTTCTGCCAATCATGAGCCACCCTCCCTCAAGCATTGGGTATACCTCTGGAACACCCTGGCACAGACTGTCTTGCTTTCCCAGTATTGTTTGGCTCTGGCTTGGAATTCTAAGAACCTCTGGGCCTGAATATATGCCTGGGATGTCCTGGCTGGGCCTATGTCCAGCAAATGTGATCTCCCAAGTGGCTTTGGGCAAAGGGCTGCCAGGCCCAGTGTTTAAGACAAGGGAGACAGAGGCCATGGCGAGAATCCAGCTTTGACTTTTATTCAAGAGACCAGATGGGTTGCCCCAGGATCCGGCTGCCAGCCCTGTGGCCAAGCACGGCTGGAAACCCACAGTCTGGCCTGCCATTGCCCTGAGCTGCAGCCTCAGCCCCAGGATCCCGCTTGCAGCCACCACAATTGCAGGTGGGAGGGAGCCCTGGGGGATTGGACGCTGCTATTGATTCATTAAAAAAGAAAAAAATAAACCAAGGCTCCATGTCCCCCATGATGGGTGGGCCTGAGGGGCCTTTCGACCCCCAGTGGCAGCATGATTTCTTTACAATCAATCCATCTGGGGTGGCGGGGTAGCACACGGAGGTTATTTCTTGGCTTTGGCGGAGTTGCGGGGTGGGGTAATGGGTCGGCCTCCAGGGTTCAGGCCACTGAACTGCCCGTACTTCCCCTTGTTCTTGTCAGCGGGCTTGAGGATCTGAAATAGAAAGGTTTCGTCAGTCTCGTGCTAAGCCGCAGGACCCACCAGCCCCTTCTGCAGGGCCCACCTGGAAGGAGCACATGAGGGTCTCGTCCACACTCATCATGGCACCAGCATTGTCAAACTCGCCACAGTAATTAGGAGCTGAGAAAAGTGTTACCAGCTGCCGCTTGGCAAAGAATTCATAACCATCTTCCACCACCTGGAAGAGGATAGGAACAATCAGGTCTGAGTCTAGACTCCCCATTCCCCCTTTCTGCCCTGACCCGGGACTGCCAGCCCACCTGGTGTGCACGGCAGATGAGGTCCAAGTCATGCTTATGCAGAAACTTGGCCACCACCTCAGCCCCAAAGGTAAAGGAGACACCGCGGTCATTCTCGCCCCAGCCCTGCACGTCCTTGTCAGGGTCAGACCACAGCAGGTCACACAGCAGGCCTTGATCAGGCACGTCTGTGGGCCGCATGATGCGCCGAATCTGCTCCATAGACTGTAGGTCTGGGGACAGGCCTGGAGGGATAGTATGGGACGCTTTTATTTTTGGTACCAGGGATCAAACGCAGGACCTTGTGCTTGCAACCTGGCAGTGGAACCACTGAGCTAAATCACCAGCCCAGGATGGGACATTTTTAAACCTCAAAACAAGGGATCCCTCCTCCACGAAGCCTCTAGGAATCAGCCTTACCATTCACACTACCACTTGAGCCCTCTGCTGGACCCCTGGGAGCCCAGGCAGGCAGAACTCATCCCCCCTGGAGCTTTTTCAAGTCCCAAATACAAGCAGAGAGAGATGTCCCTGTCTTCAAGAAGCACAGAGCTCCCTAGAGAAAGGAGACAACTGAGTTTCATGCAGGATACTGAATGCCACAACAGGAAAGAGTGCAGCCTAATGGGTGTGGGGTAATTTTCTGCAAAAACTGATATCAAAGATGACACGAAGCTGCTTCAAGAGACTCGGAACACAGTCTTCTAAGGGTTTTGCTCCAACACCCCAGGGATGTGGCCTGGTATTCTCTCAGCAAGCACCCCACAACCACCCTCACCTCCATGGCAACAGAAGATTTTCTCGTCCACAATGGCAGCAATGGGCAGGCAGTTGAAGCAGTCAGTGAAGGTTTTCCATAATTTGATGTTGTAGCGTCTCTTGCCTGCCCAGGGGAAGGAGATAGCTCATGGGGAGACCTGCCCACCCCACCCTCAGCCTGGCTCTCAGGGCCTTCCAAGGCAGTCGGCTATTCAGGCGTACCAGTAGCTGGGAGAAGAGAATGGAAGGCAAGGAAGGCTCAAGACCCTGGCGCCACCGCATCAGCATCTGGAGAGTAATTCTAAAGCACCTGGGTCCAGAGGCACTCAAGTTCCAGTCTGGTCTGATCTTAGGGTTGGGAGACACTCCCAACCCATGAGCAGGCCCAGGTCAAAACCAAGTCTGGTTTATCTCCACTTCAGGCTAACACAATCTGGTCTACACAGGCATCTAAATGCTAAAGAAACATATGTCTGGTGACAAGTGTCACCACAGCCCTGGGGTGAAGCATTAGCTAACAGGCAGCCCCGTAGCAGCATCCATTCACCATACCCATCCTGAGAGTCAGGCTCCAGAGCAGCGAGGGCTGCACAGAGAGACTAACTGACCACCTTATAGTCCAGGAAGCTGTGAGGGCTCCATGAAGAGCAGAACAAACAGTACCAGCCCTGGGCAGCCCTCAATGCTCAGACCACTCACACTCATCATAGAAGCCGTAGATTCGGTTGATGCTGGCGCACTCGTGGTTCCCTCGGAGAAGGAAGAAATTCTCAGGGTACTTGATCTTATAGGCCAGCAGCAGGCAGATGGTCTCCAAAGACTGCTTGCCCCGGTCCACATAGTCCCCCAAGAAGAGGTAGTTGCTCTCTGGAGGGAAGCCACCATACTCAAACAGCCTCAGAAGGTCGTAATACTGGCCATGGATATCACCTGTGACCAGGGCATCTGGTAAGCTAGGTGTAAAGTGGAAACTTGAACCCAGGGCCAGGAATGGGCTCGAGGGAGGAGGGATCCAGGAATTTTGGGAACAGGGGTGATGCCAATTTCAGGAAGCCAAAGATGCCTGGGCAGAGGCTCACCACAGATCTTGAGCGGGGCTTCCAGCTCCAGAAGAATGGGCTGGCTCAGGAAAATCTCCCGGGATTTGAGGCACAGACCACGGATCTCGTTCTCTGTCAGCTGTACATTCTTTCCAGGCCGCGAGCCCTGCACTGGGGGAGGGGTGGGATGTTACCCTGGTCCCTGGCAGGTGATAGGGGTGGTCCCACGGGCCCCTCTCAGGACTACTGGGCCCTTCCTTGCCCAGGGGCAGTTTTGCTGAGCCTCCCAAACCCTCCATCTTGAGCCACCTAAGACAAGACCCCAACTACCCTGGGGGCCCACCAAAAGGGGGGCTGTGAGTAGAGGCCTGTCACCCAAAACCTCAACAGCGCAGGACCCCTTCTCGGCGAGGCTTTACAGGTTTCTCACCTCAAGAGCCCAGGTCACCCGGCACCCCCAGCCCAGGAGGGAGTTGCTCCGCCTGCCAGAGCGCGCCCCAAACCTCTCCCGGTGGGGGAGCTGTAACTATGGGACCTTGCGGCCCGTCCCCGCCCAGTCGAAGCTGGGCC